CTTACACAGTTGCCATGGTGCCAACACTCCCCAACCCCAACAATCTAAACAGTGTTTACTGTGCATGTCCTATATCATCTGACTGACCCTGAATCTTTGTCTCAATTCTAATTTTTTGAGAGATTCTGATGTCCCCTACTTAGGCTGACATCGATCCTGGTTCAGTCTCCAAGCATGGCAGAGCCACTTAGTACTAAGGCTTCTCTTTTCTGTGTTCTGACTGGAAAGTTTCTTTAAGAGGGAAGTTTTGGTAGGGAGGAGCCTGCAGAGAATGTAAAAGGAATATTAGATGTGGTCCTTGCCTTTCGGGAACGTAACACCATGAGCTCAGAGCCTATTGTGCTTCATTATTAAAATTCTACTCCTTTTGAGTTTCTATAACTGGATACTGCAGAGATAATAGATGGAGTTAACCCAGAATAGGTTTATAGCAATATAGTTCAAAATTACTGCAGGTCTGAACTTTCTTCTCTACTTAGTAAACTTAATACAGTAGACTGTAGTGTTTGTGGAATGTCTACAATATCCTCAATGCTTTGTATGTATTATTTTATTTTAGTCACTCAGAAGCTCTATTAACAGTTTCTGACACCCTTTTCCTAAGGTTCAGAGAGATTAAGAAACTTTACAAAAGAACCCACAGTGGTCAACAGAGATTCAGACCAGAGGTTCCTATTTCAGAGTGCATGTTTTTCCTAATGACAATGAGAAACTGCTTCCCTAACCAGAGCAATAAGGAACTCACCTTTAGTTAGGACTACATCCACCTCTTTCAGAGGTCCTAGTGTCTTAGATGACTCCAAAGCAATGCACAAAACAGGCATGTTATATAAATTGATTAGGCTGTCTTTGTATGACATGGCCTTGCCGCGAAGTAAGGCTGCATGACAGTGCTCAAGCTAACCAAGGTTAGAAAATGTTTATAGCAGTCAGGAGGGAAGGAAGGAACTTTAACTTCACTTTGTAATTGATTTGGTGCTGACATTTCAACTAAATGATGGAGGCCAGAATACAAGATATGAAAGAAAATAACCATTAATGTCTACGGCCATACCACCCTGAACGCGCCCGATCTCGTCTGATCTCGGAAGCTAAGCAGGGTCGGGCCTGGTTAGTACTTGGATGGGAGAAAATAACCATTAATCTTGAAATATGGACCTTCAAAACAGCAAAAATATCCTCCCAAAATAGAGGAGAAATAATGTGTCAAACAAACAAAAACTAAGATTACATTCCCAGTAGAACTGCACTAAAAAAAAAACTAAAGGAGAATTTTAAAAAGTGATTCCAGAAAAAAGCATGGAAATGCAGGAAGGAATGAAACCAGAATAAGCATATAAGTGAATAAATCTAAATGAATAAATCTAAATGCACATTAAGAATATTAATAATATTGTCCTGTGGGTTCAAAATATGTACAGAATTTATTTATTTAGAATTTAAATGCTTAAAAAACAATTTTAAAAATGGTGTAAGAGAGTAAATGCAATTGCAATACTCTAAAATTCAAGCATTGCCAGGAAAGTGGTTTAATCACTTATGTTTTTTTACCACAAGAAGTCCAGGGTATATGTAGTGATTCCAAGTATAATCAATAAATTAAAAAATTAAAGAATGTATAGCTAGAAAAAGTGAATAGTGGGGGAAATGGAACAAAAAATATTTGATTAACCAAAAAGAAGGCAGAAAAGGAATGCAAAAGGTACATATCACAAATTAGTTACACAGAAAACAAAGTGACAGATAAAACGTAAATATACCAGTTATTGTATTAAATATAAATAGACTCAATATTCCACTGGAAGACTTAGAATGGATTAAAATACACACACAGACACACACATATAGTGCATATAAGAGACATTTTAAATATAAAGCCACAGGGAAATGGAAAGTAAAAGGATGGGGAAAAGTATCCCATATAAACATTAACCAAAAGAAAACTCACTTAGCTATATTAATATTGAAGTAAAATTTTAAGCAAGTAGCTTTCGTGAAGAGGAACATGACAAAGTAAAAGAATCAATTTACCATAAATGATATAGTAATCTTAAATCTACATGTACTCACAAACATAAGTTCAAATATATTTAAAGCAGGCCTCCCCTGGTGGCACAGGTGGTTGAGCACAGCGCTGTGAAGCTTTCTGTAGCCTCTGCAGCGCCGGTTCAATCCCGGCCGGCGGCGAGGATCCCACATGGTGCGGCAGACCTCTCCTGTCTCGCCTGCTGCTGCCCTCAGCAGTGTATTTCATCAGTTCTGCCTGTTCTGCTCCCCGCTCTGTCTCTGGTGAATCCTCTCACCCTCCCGCGCATCTGGCTTGTACCTCAGTTCTTGTATACATAAATAAATAAATCTTTAAAAAAATATATATATAAAGCAAAGTTAGATAGAAGTAGATAAACTTACAAGCACAGCAGGGGATATTTGCTCTAACTGACATATATGGAACAGGGCATCTGACAAGACAGAATGTATATTTTTTCAAGTGTACATATACTATTTACCAAAACTGACCTGAATCCTATGCTGGTTTATAAAACAACCTCAACAATTTTTTTTTTTTACATCTTTGTTCATTTTTAAACAATGTTTGCTTCCCTCCACCCACTCAGGTGTAGTCCCCATAGAGTTTCCTTCACCAATGTACCTAGGCACCATCACCTCAGTCCCCTGTGCTCCTCCCTCCCTCCCTCTGATCCCTCTCCCTGCTCCTCCCCTGCAGGATGTCTCTGATTTATAATTGTCTGTTTTTGTTTTGTTGTGTTTTGTACTGTTGTTATATTTTTACACAGATGTCTTTCTTATTTGGTTCCCCTATATTCCTCCTGTAAGTGAAATCATCCGATATTTTTCTTTTTCCTTCTGACTTATTTCACTGAACCTCAACAAATTTTATAGGGTTTCATTTCATTGAGAATATGTTCTCTGATCACAATGAAATTAAGATGAACATCAATAACAAAAAGGATAATTTAGACTATTTTCAACCATTTGAAAATTAAGGAATATACTTATAAATAATCCAAATGTCAAAGAAGAATTCCCTAGGGAATTAGAAAGTATTATAAATTGGATTGTAATGAGAAAAGTTAATTGACAAGTTGGGCAGAGGAAATGAAACACTACTATAAGATAGAAATGATGAATATCTTCCACCAAATAAGAAATAGACCACTCCTGAAGTTAACAGTTTGGGACAACCCTGCCTAGAATCCACTCTGCTACATTTCTCTTGACCATCATGATGGGTTGCCTCATGCTTAATGACATATTTCTGTTCCTTACAAGAATGTGATTGCAGAAGATAAGGCAGCATAAGATCAAGAGTCGGATACTACAATTAGCAAGACACAATGCTATTAAAGAAAAATTTTGAAAACTGAAAACTCATTAAGTTTATTAATAGCAAGACTGTGTTTCATTCATTTTTTTCCTGTCATGTGTATAGCACATGTGGACCTTAGCAGGTGCTCAACAAACATTTTCTGATTGAACGACCTATACTGTCTTTCTGTCCTCTGAAATTCATATTTATACATGTTATGGTAGGTGACTATTTCAAATTGAGAGGTCATGTGATGAAGAACTGACATATTAACTTAAGAACCGAGGAGTGAGAACAACCAAGAAAGATTAGGAGAAAGTGCATTCCAAGCATTGTGGAAATCCTAAGGCAGAAACAAGTTTGACAGGTTTGAGAATCAGAGAAGGCATGAGTGGTTTTAGCATAGTAGTCAAAGGAGCTGAGGCTGCTAAAGATTAGGTTAGGCAAAAGTCAGGTCTTTTAGGCCTTGGATTTTATTCTGATTGAGATGAGAAGCACTGGTGGGCTGCGGGGGAGGAAGTTAGAAAAGAATCAAAATTATAGCTGTTGAATTAACATACTATTATATGTCATCTTTTTCAAACTTATCTCTCACTACTACTTTGTATACTTGACGCAAATCAGGCTATTCATTTCCCCAATGCTTTGTTTTCTTTTTTTTTTTTTTATGTATTCTTTTTTTTTTTTTTTTTAAGATTTATTTATTTATACAAGCACTGGGTACAGTCAGAAGCGCAGGAGGGTGAGAGAATTCACCAGAGCCAGAGCGGGGAGCAGAGCAGGCAGAAGTGTTATAGAGCAACCCCGATATTAAACGGGTTCCAGGCTGTGGGTCCTCACCCGCGCGCTTTAAAGGGACTTATGAATACTCTACTACAGACACACACAAAAGGGTTAATAAAAGGTTTATTTACAAGAGAAAAAGAAATAAGGAAAATGTACAACTCAGGGAGAAAATAGGGAAATAAAGTCTTTAATGCGTCCTACCCGATCCGACGACCTGGAAACCCAAAGTCACTCTCCGAGCTGGCCGGATGCTGCGAGCTGGCGGGGAGCCCAAAAATGGAGAGCCCCCAAAGCCCACGTGTCTGCCTTTTGTATCCACCTGGCTGCTTAACCCCACCCTCAGGTCCCAGCCACCTCCCCTTTGGTGGTGATGGGATTTGGAGTTCCCAGTGTCTTTGGCTTTGACCTGGGGTGGGGGTGGAGTCCACAAAGCCTATATGGAATTTGCTTTGGGACATCCTTTTCCCCCTAACAGAAGGACCCAAGTACACTGCTGAGGGGAGCAGCGGGCAGCAGGAGAGGTCTGTGCGCCATGTGGGACCCTCCTCTGGTGGCCGGGGAGCAGCCGGGGATTGAACCGGCGCTGCAGAGGCTGCGGGCAGCTTCGCAGCCCAGCGTTCAACCACTGCGCTACCAGGGAGGCACTGCTTTGTTTTCTTAACTTTTCAGCATTGCTTATGATGGACTCTTCCTGGAATTCTCTCTTGCCCCTTGCTTCCATAAACAAGAGGAAGATTTTAGTTCCATATAAGGAAGATTTTCCTATTTCAGTTTTTCCCAAACAAATGTTTTTCAGGACATTATACCATGTCAGGCTAAAGAAAGTATCTAGTGTCTTCATTGATCTATAACATGCAAATATTAAGAAGAGAATATAATATGCTTCATTCCCAAAATTTATTTGTACATAGAAACTTCTATTCACAGAGAACTGTTAACATCTCTTGAAACAAAAGTTCCTAAGAACATAATGAGTTAAACTGCTTAAAAATGAAGAGAATATCTTCTGAAGGAATATGCTCAGATTTCTAGGAACGTTGCTGTTGCCATTACTTTTGTATTTTTGAAATCTTGGTCACATAAACTAAAGTATATTACATTTGGGAAGCACACAACTTTCCTTACTTGTTAGCTTACCAGTTTGAGATTCAACACAGATGAATCTCATAGATGATAATGATGAAGAAAAACCATGGAAATGGCACAGTGGTTGTGAAATTTTTTCCCCATCAATACAATGTAGAGTAATGATTTTCCCAGGTCTGTCCAGTGATTCATACACTATGTACATTCACTAAGGGAAAATTTCTCAACATCTTTCACCAACAAAGAAACAAACAAATATTTTCTCATGTGCTACCTTTTCTCCCCTGCAATTCACATGGAACTCTGCCTCTCCACTGAGCACCACCATTTTAGAAGCTCCAAACTAGAGAATTAATATAATGTTTTGAATAAACAAGGAATTCCCAGACCTAAATGAAGAAGTGACATTTTAAAATTATTGGAAAAGTAAAGTAAGAATAAAAAAATCAAAACAGAGCCACTACTTTGAGATTCAAAAGAGTAATATTAAAAAAGGAAGTGGGACTCATGAAAAATATTGTTCTTAAATATTTGTTGAATAAGACATGATGTAATAATTTTTAAAAACTGGCTAACAACATTGAAAAGGCAGGATTGGAGAATTATAATTAGTGTCTACACATCTGACTATGGGAGGGCATAACCAGGGCTGAAACACTATATTCCCTAAGAAGAATGTGCACAGTAGATTCATCAAAATTTCTGCAATTTACACCTGTTCTGTTTTTCCCAACCATGTTTACTATCTTTAGCTTGGTTTCTGAAGATCTATCATACTAAGAAAGGAGTGTTTGGGTTAGTAGATAAAATGCTATAGTTATCAGAAAGACATATCTTCTCCTATGGGTTAATAAAATGTTATTCTGTCTCCTATCATATGTGCTGAAAAATGTACTGAGGTCTTATTAAAAACCTAGATATTTGGCAAGTTAGTGTCTGGACCAGATTATACTAGACATACCATTTCTTAAGGTCCTTGTGAATAGTTTGATTATTCTGCTTAGGAAGAAATTTGCAGTATCATTTTTCTGTCATTCAGCAATTTTACCCATATATTAGCACCTCAAAAAATGGAGTCATTGGTTCTAAATGACAGGTAAAGCAATTCCAATGTTAATTTTGAAAATGTACAAAGAGTAATTTCCCTTTCACTATTGTGCTTTTCATGACCATCTAGAGACACCAGCCCAGCTTCAGCAATACTACACAAGGTTTACCAACTTCACTGATAGTCTCAGAAGTCTTGCTCTTTAATATTCTGGAAAACTCAATGATAGAACTGCCTCTATAATGGGAGAAAAATAAAGGGGACCAGCTCAGATATGATGGTACTTCTATACCTTCATCAAGCAGGAAAAAAGATTCTTGAAGATGGGTGATGGCCAAGACCAGAGCCAGGAATTGTGGGCAGAGTCCAGGGAGACATTAGAGCTTTGTACTCTTGGTCTCCAGGTTGATCATGTTCCCTTGGATATGAGGAATCTGCTTCTCTGCTGGCCCCTGAATATCCTCTGGCTTTATGGGAACATAGTAGTAGGCCATGATTGAGAAGATCAGGCAGACCACCAACAGGAGGCAGGAAAACAAAATGAATTCAGCCCACTGTGGAAAGAAAGACATAAAAGATAAGACTGTGGGAAAATTAAAGAGATCTTCAGGGGGCCTCCCTGGTGGCACAGCGGTTGAGCGCTGGGTTGCAAATCTGCCCACAGCCTCTGCAGCGCCAGTTCAATCCCCAGCTGCTCCCAGGCCACTGGAGGAGGGTCCCACATGGCTCGCAGACCTCTCCTGCCGCCCGCTGCTCCCCTCAGCAGTGTACTTCGTCAGTCTGCCTGCTCTGCTCCCCGCTCTGGCTCTGGTGAATTCTCTCACCCTCCTGCGCTTCTGACTGTACCCAGTGCTTGTATAAATAAATTAAATAAATAAACAAATAAATAAATCTTTAAAAATAAAAATAAAAAATAAAGAGATCTTCATAGGATGAGAACTGGGGACTAAATTGACCCAGGGTCACCAGTGTAAGCAGAAGTTTGCTAGAAGCCTGGGTTCAAAGGCCTATCTTCACATGGGTCTATGTTGGCTACTATTGCCACTTACACATCTGTTTTCCTGAAAAAGTCTGTACATCTATCACATCTCACATCACAGCACTGAGTGGGGAATGTGGGATACAGAGTGATGTGGCAGCAGCAGAGAGTCAGAGGAACTTCTTGGGCGGACAGAAGTCTTCCTCAGAACCATACCTGCACCAGGCCACTGAACTGTGCCACGACAAGCACGATGATATTCCCAACAGCAACTGTCAACAACCAGGCTGCCTGGAGGACAGATTTCATGCTAGCAGGAGCCTAGAGAGGACACAAGTTTGTGAGCAAAGAAACTCCTCACACCACACTCATGTCCCAAGCATCTATCCAGAAAATGTTTCCCACAAGAGCGTCCAGATCCAAACTTCCCCCATTTAGTTCAGGTATCACATGATTCGGGGGTGATAACAATGTTAACAATAATAAGAGAGAGTTCTTAATTGAATATTTTAATTCATTATATGTTATAATCTCCATCACAATTCTAAGAGATAGGTTCTGTTGGTATTCTTATTTTATACATGAAGAAAAATAGCATCCGATATGATAATTCTCTTGTTCAAGTTTACACAACAGGTTGTACAGGCAGAATTTGGACATAGACAGTTTGACTTCATATTCCTTACTCTTATTCTGTAAGTATCCCTTCCTGGCTGCACTGCCATGATCCTAGGAGTCAAGATGACTCTCTGTTCAAAATCATATATAAAAAATCTAAGGCCAAAAAATATGGAGGTACTGACCAGTGTTTCATACTGACTTAAGGGAATGACAGAATTAAAACTCACCATCCTCTGAGCAAGTTCTATCTTTACTTTCCACTTGCAGAAACCTACCTGAGAATAAGAAAACTCAAGTCCTGTGACAGAGAACATGACCTCTGCAGCTGTAACCAGGGCATATTGTGGTAGCTGCCACGCAATGGATATTTTATTGGGTGGAACGTCTTCCATTCTCCAGGCCTGAGGACCCTGATTGGTGTTCTAAGTGAGGGAAAGAAGAAACTGGCTCGTCAGCAGTCCTCTTTCCATCCTCTTGCTACCTTCAAGAGACTGAGCAATTTCTATACAATTTGTGGTTTTGAAATTCCTTTTGGTAACATTGTACTTACTTGCCTGACTTCGGTCAATTAGATATGTTTTTTTTTTTCACAGAGTCCTTAAACAGTAGAACATTTTAATATTGTAGTTTAATACTCACTATTATATCCTATTGGGTATTTTGATCCTGACTAACATTTAAAATATAAAATGGCATTTGAATTATACAAACAATGAATTTTCAGAAAGCATGTACTGGAGAAAATTTAATCCTTGTCCAAATTTCTATGTTAGTCACTACAATTATACTGCTTTTAACAGTGGCATTAAAATTTTAATTTTACTAAAATTACCTTTATTTGAATGAATTATTTTCTTGATAACCCTAACATTGAGCATTTTGTTGATCAATTTTTAAAATTTCTTATCAAATACCATTTGATGTTTTAAATTCTATTTACTGGCTATTTAATGCAAATTGTACTCATTCAAATTTTGTCAATAAGATGTAATTTTTTCAATGGGCAGAAGAGCTAAAAAGAAACTTCTCTGAAGAGGAAATGCAAATGGCCAACAGGCATATGAAAAAATGTTCAACATCACTTGTAATCAGGGAAATGCAAATCAAAACTACCATGAGATACCATCTTACACCAGTGAGAATGGCACATATTAAAAAAACTAGCAACAACAAATGTTGGCGAGGGTGTGGAGAAAAAGGAACTCTTCTGCACTGTTGGTGGGAGTGCAAACTGGTCTAACCACTATGGAGAGCTGTGTGGAGATTTCTGGACCTACTAAACATAGAGCTTCCATATGATCCAGCAATTCCACTCGTAGGTATTTACCCAAAGGACACAGAAACATCAATTCCAAAGAGCACCTGCACCCCTATGTTTATAGCAGCACTATTTACAATAGCTAAGCTTTGGAAACAGCCCAAATGCCCAAAAATAGATGACTGGATCAAGAAGATGTGGTACATATATACCATGGAATATTACTCAGCATTCAAAAAAAGATAAACACATGCAATTTGCAGCAACATGGATGGCGCTGGAAGGGATCATGCTCAGCGAAATAAGCCAGAAAGAAAAAGAAAAATACCGGATGGTCTCACTCATAGCAGGAATCTAGAAAACTTAAATAAGGGACCAGGAAAATGAATAACTATAAGAAAGTGAAAATCAAAATCAACAAAAAACTATGAACCAGAGATACTTTTTGGGTGGTGGGGGCCGGGAGGGGAGGGATTGGGGTCAGAATGGGGTGTTTGCAATTGTATGGGGAATATAAAAATAAAATTTATTATTTAAAAAAAAAAGATGTAATTTTTTCTACCAAATATAGTCAAAAAATTTTTTTCACGGTCAATTTTTTTGTTATCAATGTTACCAAATATATACGATTTTTATAATTTTTAGTCAAAAATTAGTTTTACTACATGTTGGTTATTAGTTTGGTTTTGTTTTATATAAAGTATGGTGTACTCTCTCTATATATGAAATAAATTTTTTAAATTTTATAGACCTGTAGTAAAAACACTGTTAGTAGGTATAATATCTGGTTATAATGAGATAAAAAAAATTAAGGTCAAAAGCCCTTAAAATCAAAAATCTTTAGTGTCCAAATGTCACTGACACTCTGAGCCAAAGAGCTACTGGAATTTATAATAGTAAGGTAAATTTTACTTTAGTTGATATTGTGAATAATACTTGCTCTTATGTTTGGGTTTTCTCAGTTTAAGAGAAGACCATGATCTGAACTTGGAAATCAAGGTCACATACTCAAATACCCACAGGCAGGTAATTAAATAAGTATCTCAGGTTGAATGGAACTATCATTAACTAGATAGCATAAACTCCACCTAAAGGGTACTTACATTTTTGATGTCAAAAGAAAAAATAGATAACTTGAACACCATAAAAATTAAATATGTGCTCCAATGAGGCACCATCAAGAAAGTTAAAAAGACAATTTATTGAATAAGAGAAAATATTTGCAAAGCTTATATCTGATACAAAGCAGATATACAAATGGCCTAGATGTACCTGAAAAAATACTCAACTTCATTAAATATCAGGAAAACACAAATCAAAACCACAATGAAATGTCATTTTATACCTTTTAGGATGACTATAAAAAAAAAAACAAAACAGAAAGCCAAGTGTTAGCAAGGATGTGAAGAAATTATAACCCTCATATACTATTGGTGAAAAGTGCCCTACTTATATACCCAAGAAAAGTGAAAACATATAATCTTGGCATGAATATTCATAACAACATTACTTGTAATAGTCAAAACTAGAAACAACCTAAAAATCCACCAAGTAATGAACAGGTAAATAAAATGTATTATATCCATTCAATGAAACATTATTTGTTAATTTAAGAATGAGGTACTGTGTCTGCTACAATGTGGATAAACCTTGAAAATATACTAAATGAAAGAAGAAAGAGTCCAGATACAAAAACCCACATAGTTGGTCATTCTATTTATATCAAATGTCCAGAATAGGCAAATTTATAGAGACAGCAAGTACAGAAGTGGTTGCCAAGGGTTAGAGGGTTTGGGCGGAAATGGGGAATGACTATTTTGGGAGTTTTTGGAGAATGAAGAAAATGTTCTAAAAGTCCACAACTTTGTTTCTATATTTAAAAATCACTGAGCAGGCCTCCCTGGTGGCGCAGGGGTTGAGCACTGCGCTATGAAGCAATCTGATAATCTGCAACCTCTGCAGCATGAGTTCGATTCCCGGCCCACCAGGGAGCAACCCATGTGGTGCAGCAGACCTCTCCTGTCTTGCCCACTGCCCCCCTCAGCAGTGTATTTCAGTCAATCTGCCTGTTCTGTTCCCCACTCTGTCTCTGGTGGATCCTCTCACTCCCACACCTCTGGCCTGTACCCCAGCTCTTCTGTGCATAAATAAATAAATCTTTAAAAAAATAATAAAAATAAAAATCACTGAGCACATATATTCTACATATATTGACTATATATTGGTATATATTGGCTGTTAATATATTTAAACCATAGTACACATTAAATGGGTGAATTTATGATATATGAATTATATCCAATAAAGTAATAAAAATGGCATACCAAAGATATCAGGGCAATTAAATTAATTAAGATAAACTTTTACAGACTATATTCATCACACCTCTAGAAATGTTCCTTTTCAGTCTTCTACTTATATTTAATACAATGTCATATGTAAAAATGTAATGAAAGAAAATAAGAATCAAAGTGGACATCAAAATTAAAGTTCAGAGATAATCCTGCCCTTGAGACAGCTGCTTTTGAAGGACCATCATTAATTGATCCCCCAAACTTGTGCTAGCAGATATGCTTTTCCAGGGAGCCAGGAAACCTGCATGTGGAGTCAATAAGAAGACATATATAATCTTTGTTTACTTGGGACCATAATGAGACCATGTCACCTCATAGCAGTTACTCGAGATAAATTCTGTCTCTGTCCCTCAAGATCTTGTGTAAAACTACAATGAGATACCATCTTACACCAGTGAGAATGGCACATATTAAAAACTACCAGCAACAACAAATGTTGGCGAGGTTGTGGAGAAAAAGGAACTCTTCTGCACTGTTGGTGGGAGTGCAAACTGGTCCAACCACTATAGCTGTGTGGAGATTTCTGGACCTACTAAACATAGAGCTTCCATATGATCCAGCAATTCCACTCCTAGGTATTTACCCAAATGACATGGAAACATAAATTCCAAAGGGCACCTGCATGCCAATGTTTATAGCTGCACTATTTACAATAGCTAAGTTTTGAAAACAACCCAAATGCCCCAAAATAGATGACTGGATCAAGAAGATGTGGTACATATACACCATGGAATATTACTCAGCAATCAAAAAAGATAAACACACGCAATTTGCATCAACATGGATGGAGTTGGAAGGGATCATGCTCAGCGAAATAAGCCAGAAAGAAAAAGAAAAATACCAGATGATCTCACTCATAGCAGGAATCTATAAACCTAACTAAGGGATCAGGAAAAAAGAATAACTATAAGAAAGAAAAAATCAAAATCAACAAACAACTATAAACCAGAGATACATTATGGGTGGAAGCGGGGGGAAGGAGGGACTGAGGTCAAAATAAGGGGGGTTCAATTGTATGGGGAATATAAAAATAAAAAAAAATTTAAAAAAAAGCTCTTGTGCCTGCTGCCAGTGTTAATGTCTCCTATGGAGACCTAGGTAGCTTTCTAAAGTCTAATGTCTTTTTAATGTCTCCTGTGGGGACATAGGTAGCTTTCTAAAGTCTGTATAGAACCCATTACCTTACTAGAAATAAGTATGTGATCCTCTCTTGCCAGAGTTTTCTTTGGATCCCAGGGTAGATACAGCTAAAGATAGACATAGCTGTAGATATAAAGATCAATGGAAGGGTAATGTGGGCTACTTACATTAGTAATAATGAACACATATGACACACCAAAGTCCAGTAGACCCAAATTCAATGAAAAGTTCTTATCTTCTGTCCTACAATGCACTGCACGGTAGCTGGAACAAGACAACTTTAGTTTAGAAAAAAGATCACAGTTTAGAAAAATACTATCTCCAGGGGAAAGAATGACTGCATTTTTCTACTGATGGTGAATCAAGCAGTGAAGTTACTATTTCTTTTTGAAGAGACGAGTCTCTAAGAGTTAATACTTCTCTTTTTTAGCTTGATTGTCTTTTTTAAAATTTTATTTGATGGTGTATTACCCTTTTAATGATTCTTAAATTTTATTTGCTAAGACTTTGTTGAGGACTTTTGTATCTGTTCATCAGGGATATTGTTTTGCAGGTTTCTTTTTTTGTGATATCCTTCTCTCCTTTTGGTATCAGGGTAATGTTGGCCTCATAAATTATATTTGGAAGCATTCCCTCTCTAATTTTTTGAATGAGTTTGGGAAGGATAGGTATTAATTCATTTTTGAAAGTTTGGCAGAACTCCCTGCTGAAGCTATATGGTCCTGGTGTTTAGTTTTGGGATGACTTTTGATTGCTGTTTCAATTTTCTTACTTGTAATTGGTCTGCTCAAATTTTCTATTTATTCGTGATTTGGTCTTAGTAGATTGTATTAGTCTAAGAATCTTTCCATTTCTTTGATATTTTCCAATGTTGGCATAAACATGTTCATAGTCTCTTATTCTCTGTATTTTTATGATGTGTGTTGTAACTTCACTCTCATTTCTGATTCAGTTCAATTCATTCAACTAAAAAAAGAATTTCTCTCTCTCTCTTTTTTGGTAAGCTTAACTAGAAGTCTGTCTATTTGGTTTACTTTTTCAAAGAACCAGCTATGGCTTCATTGATCTTTTGTACTGTCTTTTTTATTTCTCTTTTATTTACCCTTGCTCTAATATTTGTTATTTTCTTTCTCCTACTAGGTTTTGGTTTAATTTGTTCTTTTTCTAGTCCTTTAAGTTGTAAGATTGGATTGTTTATTAGAGCTTGTTTCTTGATACAAACCTGTATTGCTATAAACCAGAGTAAATAATGTCATACCTGGTTTTTCTGCCTCTTATCTGAATAAGGGTTTTTTTTTTTTTAACTGTAAGCCTGAAAAAATAGGTATAAATCTCCTTCTTTTGTGGAGATCAGGTTCTAAGTCTTCTAACCTAAGCATTATGAAGTTTTCTTTTATGGGTCTGATGAATTAGTGGAATAGTATAAAACAGTGAACCTGAAAGAATAAGCTCAAAGTAATGAAGTGCCAATAGGAGGTGCCAAAGGTAGAAGTGAGAGTCAATGATAAATGGCAACCTCTGAGAGATGGCTTTGTTAACTACACAGTATGGCCTTCACTGCAATCCTTATCTCAATAAATCTTGCAGACAAAGGTAAGACTGAGAGATGGCCTCAAGGATAGAAAAAGAGCAGGAGTCTGGATATACTCAAAATTAGCCAACATACATCTCTGATTCCTCCACCAATATGCAAAGAAAGAATTTTAAAATAGTTGTTAATAAAAGTAAATGTCCACTAGGATATTGTTCTTACTCTCCACTTTGCACAGTTCTGTAAGCAGACACACCATAGTCTTCACCAACATTCAGGAAAATACCTCTACCCAGGGAGATGTTGACTTCTTCATATAAAGTGTTTACAAACCTAAAGATGGAGACATTGTCACAGATCAGACAAATAATCCCAAACAGAGACACCTCTTGAAGGGTAGTAGCCTTTTTGTTTTGCTTACCACTTTATCCCCAGTGCCTAGAATAGTGGCTGGCACATAAAAGGTATATAATGCATATTGTTAACTGGGTGAATTAACTTGCATTTAAGAAGTAATAAGAGTCTAGCTATCCCTAACCTTCTCTCTCCTGAAGTAATAGCTTTCTATCTGCCACATCCTCACCTGATCTCTAAGGTGGACTCTGTCATGATCAACCATGGAAGTTTGAGTTACTTCACTAATCTATCTTAGGTGAGCCCAGATTTTCCCTCTTGTAATGCAGGGACCCATCAGTTGAGATTCCACTAAGAAATTATACACAAACATGCATACACACCAGTATATACATAAAGTTGGAATTTTACCCTCATAAATGAAGTCTGACTTGGCCTATGCAAAACTCAGACTCCCAGCCCTAAGAGTTGAATTATTATCATTTTTTCCAGGTTGGCAGGGAATGCTGGACTCTTACACAGGGATCTTTCTGGTTTTCTGAAATTGGGTGCCTAAATTGTCCCCTCAGTATGGATTTTTGACAGATTTCTATTTTGATAGCTTTTGTCTTGATCCTTGAACCAGGGGATAAGAAGGGCAGTTCCTTCTAGAATCCTTAATGTTGATTCCTAAACTTTAGATCAGTTACAAATTGCTTTCTTTCATACATCTGGATGTTCCTAGTGCTCTCTGACCCAGGGAAGCTTATCCTCACTGTTATCTTACTTCTTTTGAGCCATTTATTTTTCTCTGAAGTACATCAAAAGCAAAGTATTATGATTCTTCTACCCTCAAGTGAAATTCAGATTTCTAATTAAAAGTTTCTCCTCCAAATGCTATTGTCAACAACAACCACCTAATTTTGAAGGTCAAAGGCATTTGTATCTGTACATGTCAGATTCCTGCTGACTTCTTCAGTGCTTTATCTGTGTAACTTTCCCAGGCTGCATGAGAAGACCTTTAGCCTTATGCAGATTAAATGCAAGGTCCTTTGAAACCAGATATATTATATTATACACCATGATACCTCCATAGGCTTATAATAAAAACTATACTTTAAAAACAAAGTAACAATAATTGATATTCAATTACCAATAATGAAGGGAAAATTGTTTGCTCAGTTACAAATTTCTTTCTGGTGATCACAGAGAGAAAGGTACTCCTGAGAGCAAGAAGGGATTTATGCATCAGAACACAGGAACATACATAGATTCAGGGTCATCTCTGAATATCACATGGGAAAGAAATCCTATTTGCCTTTCACATTCTGGAAAATCCCTTTAATACACATGCCCCTGACATCCTAGGGAAGAGTATACTAGTTTAATATAAGTAGAATGTAAGGATTCTTCATCTAAAACCCCACTGGTCAAATGAAACACAAGATTCAAAAGAACAAAGTGCCCTAGGTTCTCCTGGACATCCAAACCTCACAGCTGTCATCCCATTAGTTGTTTTGTTTTCATCTTTCACCTATAATGGAAGAAAGTGAAAATCAGTTACAGATGACAACAGGGAATCAACAATTGAAAAAATTGATCACAGGCATGTTAATGGTAAGATACTGATGATCTAGTCATCATACTGTAGGGTTACAATATGGAAACTAGGCCATCTCCCAATTTACCATCATGCTGGAAATATTTTTCCCGTCTTCTCGAATAATCAGACTGTACCAGTTCTTTTCTTCCACAGAATTGTTGGTATTGACAGACAGATTATGATAGTTGAGGTAAAAGTGGAAATTCTGGCTTTCTGTCTTCAGGTGGAGTTTGGAATAGTGTGGCATTTTCTGTAGAATAAAGAATATGTCACACTCATCTCCTGCTTATCTTGAATATCACAGTCTCATAGTACTCCAGGCAGGGTAACTTCAAACTATGCGATTCTTTCAGCATTACCCACTAGACTAATAATTTCATTTCTAGGAATATATCTTAGGAGTAATTAAAGGCATGTATAATGATTTAGAAGAAGGAAGGTCATTATAGAATTATATATAATAATAAAACTTAAATACCTATAAGAAAATATTTAACAAAAAGTAATATATCCATGAAATAGAATATTATGTGTTCATTAAAATCATGTACTCAAATATTATCTAAGGGCATGAGAAAAAACTTATGATGCAATTAATGCTAGGAAAATATCAAAACAGTATAAGGAGTTTGAATGTTTTTAAAAATTTGCTCATTTACACAAAAAAATTATTGGTATCTCTGAGTGATGGAATTATAAGTGGTTTTCATATCTTTCTATGTATACTCCAATTTTCAACAATAAATGTATATTACATATATATTTATATAAAATTTATATTTATATAAAAATTTTAATTTATATATAAAACATCTTAATTATATATATATATATATATAATATTCATCCAGAGAGATGTGAACCTGGAACTCTGAATCATATAGTGTTGTAAACCATTACCTCAACAAAAGAAAATAATACAATATACAAAATATTTCAGAATATGTACAGTAATAGGACTGACAATACACAATTAAAAATCCAGATGATGATTATTAGGAGGCAGTTTTAAAGAATAATACAAATTACAACCTACTGAGAGCTTATAATCACCCAGATACACACATAATGTAGTGATAAACAGATAAACACTACATTATGCTAAACATTATGCTAAATACATAATACTTAGCCTTAAAACAGCTTACGATATTAAAATTATTGTTGAAACTGATGTTCAAAGATAAAATAACTTGTTCAGGGTCTTAGAAACTAGGGAATGGCGGAACCCAGAATAAGACTAGGGCAGTTAGATTCCATAAATGCATGCTCTTAACCACTATGTTATGCTGCTGACTTGGTGCATAATCTGAATGTCTTTCTCTTCATTCAAGTCCATACCTCACCTGAAAGGACTTGATGGACTCTGCCAACATAGAATTATTGTCATTTCCCAGCACTGTCACCTTTACTTCATCATCTGCTAGATTCAAGACTTGTAGGAAAATCTCTTGGGGGCCTGGCTGGGGTGTAGTCATTCCCTTGGAACAGAAAACACAAGTGAGATTCACTAACAAACAATCCTTTCAGTACACTGAGTACACAATTCTCAGTTCTATCTCTGGCAGCCTAGCTCATCTAGTCAGGACACATTTTTCTTCTTTTGAATAACAGTTGACTTACAATAACACTGAAAGCAGTTTGGAAAGGGTACCTGAAGCCAAGTAAGACTTCGTAATTTTTGACTCAGATCGCTTCTCGGCTAAGATCACTTTTGGCTAAGGTCAAGTGCATAATATTTGACTCAGCTGTGGCCTCATCTGTCATTCCGCAATAGTGGTTATTCAATATGCCAAAAGGTGGGGGGTTTGCAATTGTATGGGGGAATATAAAAATAAAATTTATTATTTAAATAAAAAAACAAAACAAAAAAAAAACCAAAGATGAAAAAAAAAAAAAAGGTATTCATTTCAGTATCTCATAGATCACATATACTTGTGCTCTCAAAGAAATGGCCAAATGCCTTCAATGTCAGTGTTTGGGAATTCCTTTGCAGTTTACTCTGAATCAGGAGGGTAGAGCTGGGCCTCATTTTGCATGGTCTCTCTACCCCTCATATCCTCACTTATCACAATTATCTATCATGCAACTTCTATAAGACAAGTACTGTGCTAGGTCAATGGGAATCGAAATTGAATAAGTCAGAAAAGCGAACAAGATAGATATAGTACTGCTTTCATAGAATTTAAGACTCATTAAACTCACATTAATTTTTATCTCTACAACTGCTGCAACTGCAAATGCCAGGCATGCTAGGATCATACCTACAGCCATTTTCCTAAGTGATCTGTGGAGAAAAGGGAGAGACAATGACACATAAACTTTAGACACTAAAGTCCAGCCCTCACCAAAGCCTATATACCATTATAGACTTTTTCTGATTTGGTACTAATTACAGTTCAAGTATTCCCTAGAACTTGTCTTCATATATTCTTCTTTCTCCTTTCAACAGAGTAAAATAGAACTATTCTATGTAATGCACCACATCCCCTACCTCTTCCTTTATGATGGCTTTTCTATCTAGTAAGTCATAATAACAAAAATAGTAGCAATATAGTCAGATATTTACTATGTGCCAGGTGCTATATATTATTACTTCATGCTCTTCTTCAGTAGTCTTCCTTGACCCTGGCAGCAAGGAGGACTCTCTTCCTTCTCTACACTTCCCTGGCACTTTGCCTTTTCCTAGAGCACTTAACATATTTCACCTTGTGTAATAGTTATCCATGTACATGTTTTAGCTCCCTTTCAAAACAGTAAATTTCTGGAGGGCAAGATTTGTGGTTTAATATCTGCTCAATGAATGAGTAAATAACAACTATGAATATGATAATCATCAAAAGGAAACAGATTTTAAATCAGGAAGTAGAGGATGTTTGAAACTTTGCAAAGAATAACACTTCTATTTCTAATGGGGGGCAGCACTAATTAGGAACAATTCTACCCCCACTCTACCAGGTTTCCCTTTAGTTTCATAGAGACAATAGGGATTAGTTGTCATCAAAGACTTTGGACTTCTTTGAAGAGGCAACGTTGAAGAACGAAGCCACAAGTTTAGGAAAATATTTTTGACTTGCCATGAGGCTTAGTCTTACTCCTTCACCATCACATAGTTTTAAGTCTGCAGTGATGACTTGGACTTTCTACAATAAGAATTAATTATATCTAATTTCTACCCTCCAGTATTAATAACTATTTACTCTAATATGGATAAATAGAAGCAGAAAAATGATATTTGGTTTTATATAAACGAAAATAAATCATAACTAAAGAAAAAAGTATTGACACTGAATGTTTATTAAAGTGGGCAAAGATTGAGTAAGTTTAGAGCAACACAGGTAGGGTGAGAACTTACGAGAAGTTAATGCCACACTTGGAGATCAGACGGTAAATGACAAGGTCAAACAATGGGATGAAGATAAGAACCAGAAAGGGATTTATTACCTGTAATGCCATAATAAAAAGGATTAGTTACAAGTGTCTTCTATCATGAGTGTGAACATGTGGCCTCATGTGTTTGTTTGCACACTTTCTCACATTCAAACACATTTTCATCATACTAAGTATAGAATGATTCCACATCTCTCAATCTTTTGCACACAAAACTCTATCTCTCATCTATGAGATTTAGCTTCAAATAGCCCAAGGAACCCATTTCACTCTGAAACTTTTTCTGTGATTCAGTTGGAAACTCTTCCTTCCTATTTTCACTTTACCTCTCCAGTTCTATAGCCCAAAGGGAAGTGTCATGACTGGCAGAAAAAAAATAAAGGAGAGAAGGAAGAATTGGGAATAGTTGAACAAGGGATTAAAAAAAGAACTAGAGCCAACAAATAGTGATCCTGACTTTTTTGCTCATTCTACAAAGTCTTATACTTGCTTTGACAATATTTCCAACATACCACCTTGGCCTGAGGGAGAAAAAAACCCAATGCTTATACTTTTCCTATAAGCTTGAAACTCATTCTCCTGGAACTGGGCAGACTATTTACTTAAGAGAGAATGTGAAAGGGAAGCACGGAGCTTAAAGAGAGTATTTTCAATCTTATGTTTAGCATTCCTTAGCATACAAGGAAAAAATATCAAATATGATTGGTGATACTAATATTACATATAGAGATATACAGATGAGGAAAGAGATGACTATAGAGAAGTCTCCTACCTGCATCTGGTCAGGTTGAAGCACAAAGAGACCCTGAAACAATATATCAAACTACATTTAGATAATGGCTAAAGACAAGAAAAGCCTAGGTTAACATTCTTACTAATTAGCAGTTGAAAAGTGTAAGAATCCATCAGGTTTTTGGTTCAGGGCCACTGTCTTGCTTGTATGTTATGTGAGGGCCGACTGGGGATGACTTCTAGCTCTGTTTGCTCAAGACAGATGTGCCTAAGGGAGATTTTTCTTTTTTATTCACTTAGCTGGAGAGAGAATAGAATCAGTGTGTTTTTATTAATGCCAGTAGCTGCATTTGTAGATAATGATAATGTAAAAGACATCATGTTTAAGACTCCCATTGACACACAGAGCTTTCAAGTTTGTCTTCCTGGGGGGTTTACAAAAGGACAACCATAGTAATTCCTGGACAGCTAGTGGAAGGGAACAGGTAAAATTATATTTTGTAGGTTCCAAATAGACTGGTTAATAAAACACTGACATCATACCACCTTGTCCACATTGTCACAATTAAGACAATGGAAAAAAAAACACAATGATCTAGGAAGTGTAACAACTGAGAGAGATGGAACCTTGAGTTTGCCAAGAAGTGGAGATTGGAGAAGAATAAATGATGCTTACAACTTTCCAGATCCTTTCCATATTTATGTATAAAATATCCCACTTCCAGGTCCTCTGCTATCAACCATGCCTGAGCGATGGGGCCAATAGCACCAATCAAATCTGTCCCTGCTGTGTCCTGGGCAGGAAGAAAGCAATCACTATGCCAAGTCTATATCACTTCATTAGCCAACCTCTCAGTATTTCCTTGCATATACTTAAACCTTTCCCATCCTTATGTTCCTGATTTCTAAAGTGAAGAGTGTAGCTTTTGTTTCTAGACCAGATTCTTGGTTTGCCTGCTCTGTATTTTTATGCTAAAGGCAACTTCTTATGATCTTTAGTCAATTTTTAGGCAAAATCACAAAGAAATTTATTTTTTCTTAATAGGAATAGATTCTGTGGAATATCACTTCTACTCACCAAATTTCCATTCATCTTGGTGGCTTGCAAGGTCCATCGTGAGCCCTGAGGCAAGACAGAGGCTTTTATGAAAAATCTCTTTCCTGTGAGAGGGAAGGGGCCAGTAGAAAGGGTAGCTTTGAAAAGAACTATTCTTACCTGCTGATCCAAAAGAGCCCAGAACATGGGCAATGGGATATAAAGGAATAGTACCCTAGTCAATGCCTTCACATCCATAATGAGCTGCTTCTGCAAGGGGAAGAAGGAACAGGCTGAATTGTCAACTAAAGTTTACTGTCTTGGTGTTGAAGTGTCCCAGAACATTATGAGACATGGTCAAATGCCACAGGAGAGAATCAGTTAATCAGTTTGGATAGTAGGAAAGGCTCTATGGAGGCATAGATATTTCTAGAGTTCCAACTCACTGGGTATTTCTCAGCTGCCCAGTCTAGCCAGTGCTGTCGTTTTGGAATGTCCCCAGAACGGTTCTTGAAACGGTTAAAAATAGCAAACTAGGGCAGAACATAGATATTAGTAGAGAGACTAATGCCCCAACTTTTCCAATCATTATTCTCCCCTTAAACATACTAAAATGACCTACTCCAACCCTCTGATTTCACTAGACATTGAATTTCAAAATAATTCAAAATAATAATTTTGAATTATTTCCTGTTGCCAGAAATACATAAGTATTTTACAGAAGATTTTTTTTTTACCAGTTTTTTAAAAATAGTTACATTATTGACTTAATGGTTAAGTAGAGGCCCAGAGGGAGATTGATTTAATCTCAGTTTGCCAAAAGGTATAAAAGTAGAATAAAGGTAATTGAGAAGAATGTATTCCAATATTTGAAAGTCTGTATGTTCAGTTTAGCATTTCTTCCCCTTTGATTGGAAAAAGGCAGGTAAAAAATTCATGGACTTACCCAGATACATTTGACAACTCGAATCACTATGTTTCCTTCAGGAGGTGGTTTTTTGTATATTTTGCTTCCCATTGCAAACACAGCTGCAGTGACACACAAACAAAGTTCTTAGCTTCTTTATCTTGCCTTCTTTCTACCTTATTTTCCTTATCTTTTAGTTATTTGATCTATTTTCATGGCTTAGTCACTATCCATATATTAATAGTTCTTGTTTGTTATCTACAGATCAAACCTTTCTTTTGAGCTCTAAACTATATTTCTAGAAAACTGGTAACTACAATTAGATATTCCAATGTAACAAGTCCAAAACAAAATTCATTAGTATTGGCCCAAACCTGTTCTCACCCTACTATCCACTCAGGAAACGTACCTTCTCCCTCGCTTCACATATTTAATCCTATCAAGTTAAATAGGATTTAACTTGACTGGGGTGAGCTGAGTAAGTACTCACCTTGAACTCAAAATTAAGGGAATTACAAAAATTTAGTAAACAAGATAAGAAAGTATCCTTGCTCACTCTTAAGGCTTTATTTCTCCACATTACATTTGTATTAATGGATACCATTGAAAAATAAAAGCCTAATGTTCATTCCTCTGTTCAAAATCCTTTTGTAGCTCCCCATTGTTCTTCTGATGAAGTTTCAATTTTCTAATGACCTGAAAGTTCCTTCATTATCTGATTTCTGTCATTTTCTCCACATTATTTTCTCATTTACACTCCAGGCTATCTTAATTCCTCTAAGATCCATGAATGTATCATACTGCCCTTTACCTCCTTATCTTATTGATACCAATAGTATCTGATTTCTGTTCACTTCTTTGATTAATATCAGTTAATCCTTAAGGTCTCACCTTATTTCTTCAGGCAAACCTTTTCTGACCCACCTAGTCTTAGTGGGATGTCCTCTCTATATGTGCTCATAGCTTTCTCTACTTTCACAGTTGTGACACTGATCATACTATTTTGTACATTCCTTGTTACTTGTCTGCTGCCCTCTTCCTGATAGACTAATAAATTTTCTCAAAATGTGAACTCTATAGCAGCCTAATTCACTGATATGACCCCCAATTCTTGACACAAAATCTAAACCATAATAGATTCATTAAATAAACGTTTGTTGAGTGAATGAAAAAAATAAATGAATATAAATTACAGTGAATGGCCAGAGAATTGAGAGACTTTTAGGACCCAGAAAACTGAAGAAGTTGACTAATAAAGATGGCTAACACTAACAAAATATTTTATAATTTATAAAAATTTTCACTCACAGCATCTTTTGATCTTCAAAATTATTCTGATATATAAATATTATTATTGTGCAGTGATCCAGAAAAGGAGACATAAAACTAATCAATGAATGAGGAAAATGTTTTGACTTTGAAGGAAGAAGGAAACAGGGAATATATTATCACAGTTCTTCTGCAATAACACACAGATTTCCTTGGAATTGGAATTGGAAACTGACTCTCACTATCACGCCACCCGTACTCTGCTGGTAAAAAATAATTAGGCTGAACACTGAGTCACTGGGCTCTTTTTTCCTCTACTGAGTTCTTTATATGTTGGTACTGGATATCTTCCAAGGGGGTGTCACCCAAAGGCTCAGAGTGAGAACAGGTTTCCAGGTCAATGGTTAGAAATAATCATGTCCAAGCTTCTCCTTAGACTGTGTAAACTAAGCAACACACATATCCTCCTTCCTTTTCCATTACTGGGTTCTCAATGGTAAAGAGAATGGCACTCAATCTAAGTGACATCAGTTTCTAAGAATGTTCCAATTCTTCTTACTCTTTTTGCTCAGTAGCAAACTGCCTGGGAGCAGAGCAGGGCAGAAGTAGTTAAACTTAGATGCCATATTACTGCTTTTTAAATGTAGCTGTTAAAATCTTATTTTATTAGTTTAATAATTTTTTAAAAGATTTATTTATTTATACAAGAGCTGGGGTAAAGGCCAGAGAGAATTCACCAGAGACAGAGCAGGGATCAGAAGAGGCATATGGACCGAAAGCACTGCTGAGGGGAGCAGCGGGCAAGCCAGGAGAGGTCTGCCGCGCCATGTGGGTATCTGCCTGTCTGGCTGGGAACTGAACCTGCACTGCAGAGACCGTGGACAGCATTACAGTGCTGTACTCAACTCACTGCACCACTGGGGAGGCCCTATTAGTTTAACAATTTTTTATGGTAAATTGTTTTACAACACAGTCTAAGTTTTAGGAGTACCAGCTCTTACCTCTTCATATTATGATACCACACCACATCCATCACCAAGATTTTAATAAATCTCCACCACAATCCAATGGACCCCTTCTATCAATTGTTTCCACGCCCCATTCCCTTCTCATCTGGTTAGTACAAGGTCCAAAGAATTTTAAATGTCTTCCAATTATCAGAAAAATAACTATTTAATGAAATAAGCTAGTTTGAGAGAATTAATTATCTCTCTTGCTTTCTTTCATACTGTAGCATAGAGTAGTAGATCTCAACCTTGACTGCACATGACAATTATATAAATATTTAAAAAATTAAAAATTATATATGTTAGGCCCTATCCTGATTTAATTGTTACTACAGGGGTTCAGAGGTCATTCTTTTCTAAAGTTTCCCAGAAAACTTCTTAGCTGTTTTGTAAACTTGGGCATATTTTTAAAAGGTCTCTGACTTCATTCAGTTACTTTATCTGTCCTGTCTAAAGGATACCCCTCAATAACAATTACCTAATAGGATTAGCATGAGGATTGAACGAAATAGTTTGTGTAAAGTACTTTCAAGATGCTTTACATATGACAGACATTAATGGTCAAGTTTTCTCTGTCACACTACACTTACCAAGAGCTATCACCATAAGCAATCCTGGAACTCCAAAAGCCAATGCATAGCAATCTTCCCCAAAACACTTCACATCTCCTAAAAAAAAAAAAAAAAAAAAGGAACCTTGAAGCTTGAGTCTTTGATACTCCATTCTGAGAGCTCATCTTATTTAGGTCATAAGCATAGTCATTCTTTCTCTTTCCTCCCATCACCTAAGTCCATAATCCTTCTTTGGGGTCAGACAAATCAAGATTAAAAAAACACTTATTTCCCATATTTTCAAGCCCTTATAAAAGGAGATTATGGACAGCAGGAGGCCTTGAATAGATTTTTGGATGGCCAGATTAAGGCTTATAAAGGGCCCCTCAGAAAACATCCTAACCTCTCAGCATGGGTGTGATAAATGTAGAAATCAAGCTCCCTGCATTGATGGAGAGGTAGAAGACTGAGAAGTATCTAGTCCGTTCCTTTGCCTGAAACAAACAGGACAAATCATCAGTTCAGTGTGCCCCCAGCTCCATCCCCACCCTATAATCAGACTCAACTGGATGTAAATACAAAAAGGTAGAGTCAAATATTACCTCCACGATATCTGTGTATCATGTTAGATATTTTAACACATACTTGGCTGACTCCAGATAAATATTTACCCATATTTCTAACTCCAGTGCAAGAATCTTTAACATCTTTTTACTGCTTTACCTGGACAAAAATGATTATCTATACACTATCCCACTACTGATTTCTATACATATCTATTCTGGTATTAATTTCTTTGCATTAATTGCCTGCTTCATTCAGGACATTGTGCATTCCTTTAGGGAAGAAGTCATACCTTACTCATTTCTATATGCTCTACTACCTAGCACAGTATCTACATTTTATTGACTGAATTAAGTGAATCATTGATTGAGTTCAATAATATAATTTGTGGAATGTGTGGTAGGAATAGAGGAATAGAATAAAGGACAATGGAGTGAACTGTTGATCAAGCAAGGAAGTTTGCCAGAGCATAAAAGGAAGTCCATGGGTTTAGAGGGGGTTGATGGAAACTTGAAGTTGAGTTTGACCTATTACTGAAATATCTTTATGAATATTCCATGTACAGTAACCAAATGAAGCAACTTTTAAATAAATTTGCTGATGCTTTATTCACTGTGCATTGCTGTGGTTCATTCTGATACCCTAAATCTTTTCCTGATGATTTAGCACAATCTGTCCTTCCCCATTTTCTATTATAGTATGTCTTGCTTCCTCTTCCAATTTGCATGCTTCCTCTTCTGGTCTACCTTATTCTATTCATCTATCTGTACCCAGTCATTGTGCATAGAATCCCACTTGCCAGAGTTTGTTTTTTCCTCCAAAGTCAGCAATCAATTATAATCTATGGCCTTCTGGACAGATAAAGAACATAGTATGTTAACTCAAATGGTCTAAAGGGTAAGAGAAACATAGGATACAGGATACACAGAGAGAGAAAGACCAGATAATGATAAATAGGTATGGAAGGGGGAATAGACACATAAAGAGAGACAAAAAAAAAAAAAAAAGAAAAAAGAAAGCAAAGAGAGAAAGTCAGAAATGTTAGCTGACCTAAGCTTGCCTGTTGTCATGCTTTCTCATATGGGCTTTCTCATGCTGTTTGGTTTTGTTGTTGCTGTTTTCCTATTGATAGTGGAAAGTAGTAAGGAAAAGTTTAATGAAGAAATTCATTTCATTTTATTCTGAATTTTCATTTTCCCCTTTCATAAGGATAATTAAAGATAGGGATATTTAAATTATCACTATGCTGCCTATCACCTCCCATTTCCAAAGTGCTCACCACATTTCTTCTTAAATGCTTTAAGTGAAAGGAAACTCACTACTTCAGACTCTGACAATTTGAAGTTTTTCCTTCCATCAAGCAAAAAGCTAAGTTACTATAGTTATCACTCATTGGTCTCATGTTTAATTATTGCCATCTGTTTGAAATTTATGGAAATTTATAATACTCTTTAATTTTTAACCTTATACAGGTTAAATATCTTCATTCCCCTCAACCTTTTTTCATAAAACATGTCTTTTAATCCATCTACCACTCTGGTCACTTTCCTTTGAACATTTTAGTTTCTCTATTAATTACCAGTGCACAGCATTGATCACAACTCCCAGATATGATCTGAACAGTGGATTGTTTCAGTACTAGCAAATAGTCATTCGTCAGTTATCTCTTTTAATGATTCATAAATTATTTTGAAAATATAGAAATAATAGGAATCTTACATGTTTTTCTTCAAACTGGTCTCCACCAAAAGCTGCCACACAGGGTTTGATACCTCCTGTCCCCAAAGCTATTAGACTCAAGCCAACCAATGACAGTACTCTGAAATAGAGAAGTGAGGATACTAACCACATTGATACTAAATGCAAATGAATAAATTTAATAGAATATAGAACTACAGGAGGGGGAAAAATGTATACATGGCAAAGACCTGCTCCATATTTTTATCCTGTGGTGATTTTCCATTTGCCTTCACTCTCAGGGAAGGCTCAGGAATATTTACAATCTTTTGACCCTTGAGCCTCTGCCAGAATGCATAAATTACATGAGAATATGTTGTCCCTGATAGTTCCATTTATCTGTTATATGCAACAGATAGAAACAGATATTGAAGGAAGTCCAAAGTTAAAGCAATGATTCTCAGTCTTAGTGAAATAGTATTTGGTATTAGGCACCCTACTGCCTGATTCCTTTCTATCTATTTCTCCTTCCCAGTACCTATTCTCCAATTACTTCAATAAGTGCAAAAGCAGTAGTCTAAAAGTCTATTCCTATCCTAATTCAAAAAACCTAGAAATGAAGGGGCCTCCCTGGTTGCCTAGGGGTTAAGTCTCAGTGCTACTGCCTGAGTTTGATCCCCAGCCAGGGAGCTAACCCAGATGGCTCAGCAGACCTCTCCTGTCTTACCCACTGCTCCCCTCAGCAGTATATTTCAGTAGATCTGCCTGTTCTGTACCCCACTCTGTCTCTGGTGAATCCTCCCACTCCCCTGCACCTCCGGTCTACACCCCAGTTCTTCTATGCAAAAATAAATTTAAAATTTTTAAAAAACACTAAAAATGAAGAAACAGAAAAACATCACAAATGCTACCAAAAAAAAAAATCCAAGAGAAGACTCAATCCAGTAGAACCACAGAATATGCCTGAGAAGGAGTCCAAGGCAACAGTTATAAAAAAGGGTCTCAAAAAAGGAAAGAAAGAAAAAAGGAAAGAAAGAAAGAAAGAAAGAAAGAAAGAAAGAAAGAAAGAAAGAAAGAAAGAAAGAAAGAAAGAAAGAAAGAAAGAAAGAAAGAAAGAAAGAAAGAAAGAAAGAAAGAAAGAAAGAAAGAAAGAAAGAAAGAAAGAAAGAAAGAAAGAAAGAAAAGAATAAAGACAGAAAATATGAGCCAGTTACAATCATAATGAATGGATCTAAAAAATACTATAACTGGAAAAAGACAGAGGATAGAGGACAACAATGGAGAAAATTAGAGAACTTGTAAGTATAAAGTTGGAGGACAAACAAATAGAACAACAAAAGAGAAAAAAGAATAAAAATAAAATAGTTTAAGAGCTCTATAGAATAATCCAAAGAGAAATAGCATCTGTATTATGGGGATGCCAGAAATAGAAAAGAGAGAAAAGCACAGAAAATTTATTTAAAGAAATAATTTCTTAGAACAATCTCAACTGGAAAATAAACTAGATACCATGATCCAAGAGGCCAAAAAAGTTCCGAACAAAATAATATCAGACAGACACACACCAAGACACATTATAATAAAACTGTTGAAAGTCAATGACAAGAACAGATGCTAAAAACATCAAGAGAGAAAAGGGCAATCTGTAAGGGAACGTCAATTAGATTGCCAGTGAACCTTCTAGTAGAAACACTATAAGCATGGCGGGAATGGCAGAAGATATTTAAAGCACTTAAAGTAAAAGATTTCCAGCCTAGAATCCTTTACTCTGAAGGATCAACATTCAAGATAGAAGGGAGATTATGGAACTTAACCGAAAAACGAAAACTAAAGGAATTTATTAACACCAAGGGGCACAGAAAGAAGTCTTAAAGGGGCTATGAGAAAGTAACAGAACAACAAATAGAGTGGCAACAGATACCTAATTGTATAAGATGAAGGAGGAAGAGAGTAACAATGTGGCCTTTCAGAACCAGCTTGAGACCAGACCATTCACAGGTCACACAAATAATTCGTCATATACTAACATCAGTATAAGCTTCAAACAAAAAACAATAGATGTAAATCATAGACCAGAAATAGAAACTAAGCAAAACATAAAAGGGACATGAGAAAATAAAAAGACAAATTAAAAAATAACAAAATATCAATAAGCATATGTCTCAAAAATTACCTGAAATAAATGTTTTGAATTCACCATTCTAAAGGTATAGAGTTTTGAACGGATTTCAAAACTAAGTCCAAGCTTCTGCTGTTTATAAGAAGCCCACCTTAGCAATAAAAACAAGCACTGACTTACAGTTAAAAATTGGAAAACAGGACCTCCCCTGGTGGCGCAGGCCGTTGAGCACAGTGCTGTGAAGCTGTCCGCAGCCTCTGAAGCGCGGGTTCAATCCCTGCCAGCCGGCGAGAAGCCCACATAGCATGGCAGTCCTCTCCTGTCTCGCCTGTTGCTCCCCTCAGCAGTATATTTCACTCAGTCTGCCTGTTCTGTTCCCCACTCTGTCTCTGGTGAATCCTCTCACCCTCCCGCGCGTCTGACCTGTATCCCTGTTTTGGTGTGTATGAATAAATAAGTCTTAAAAAAAAAACAAAACTGGAAAACAATCCTACAAACAAATGCTTATCAAAAATGTCTGGAACACCTATATTTACATCATATGAAGAAGAACTCCAATTAAAAGAGATAATAAGAGCTAGAGACAGGCATTATATTATGATTAGTGACCTAATACAACAAAAAGAAATAACACTCAAATTTATATGCACTGAATGATGAAGCACCAAGATACCTAATAGAGCTAAATGGAGACACTGACAATATCACTAATACTAGGGGACATTACAACTATGGACAGATCAGCAAGACCGAGAATAAATAAGGAAACAATAGCCTTTGATGAAAAATGAGACCAAATAGATTTAACAGATATCTCCAGAACACTCATACATGTTTTTCTCAAGTGCTCATGGAACATTTTCAAGACTAGACCATATGTTAGGACAGAAGTTGATTGTCAATAAAACTACAAAGGTTGGAATTATACCGGGTACTTTCTCTGAGTACTGCCATAATGACAGAAATCAACTGTGAAAAAAAAATAAAACAGGAAAAACTATAAATACATGGAGACTAAACAATATACTACTTAACATCTATTGGATAAAAGAGGAAATTAAAACAGAAATTAAAAAAGGCCTTGAGACTAAGAAAAATGAGGCTACAGCTGCCAGAATCAATGGGATGCAACAAAAGCAGTTTTAAGAGGGAAGATAATTGCAATCCAGGCACATATTAAGAAGCAAGAAAAATCCCAAATAAACAATCTAAGAGTAAACCTAAGGCAATTTGAAAAAGAAGAAAAAAGTAAACTCAAAGTTAGTGGAAGGAAGAAAATAATAAAAATAAGAGCAGAAATGAACAAAATGGAAATCTAAAAGACTATACAAAGGATCAATGAAACTAAGAGTTGGCTCTTTAAGAAGATAAGCAAATTGGACTAACTTCAATCTAGGCTAATAAAGAAAAGAAGGAAGAAAACATTAATATAAAAAATCAGAAATGAAAAAGGAGAAATTATCACAGATAACATAGAAATTTCAAAGTATTGAATTGCTAAACACAATAAATTTGATAACCTTGAAGAAATGGACAGATTTCTGATTGATATAGTTTACCAAGACTAAGTTACCAGGAAGAAAAAGAAGAATTGAACAAATCACAAGCACAGAAACTGAAACAGCAATAAAAAATCTTCCCCCAAACATAACCATTTTTACAAAACTTCAAAGAAGAACAAATGCCCATATTGTTCAAATTGTTTTTTAAAAATACTAAAGGAAAGAATGCTCTCTAATGCCTTTTATGATGTCAACATTACCTTAATACTGAAACCAGACAAAAATAGGACAAGAAAATTATAGACAAATATTCCTGATGAACATTGATGCAAAAATCTTCAGCAAAATACTAGCAAATTTAATTCAAGGATTATATATCATGATGATGTGGGATTTATTCCAGGGATGCAAGGATAGTTAAATATATGTAAATCAATCAATGTCATACATCATATCAACTAAAGCAAAGATAAAAATCACTTAACTAGATGCAGAGAAAGCATTTGGTAAGATTCAGCACTCATTTATGATGCAAACTCTAAGTAAGATGGGAATAGAAGGAACTTACCTCAATATTGTAAAGGTCATATATAATAAGTCAATATCCAATATAATACTTAATAATGAAAAACCAATAGCTTTCCCTTTCAGATCAGGAACAAAACAAAGATGATCACTGTCACCACTATTGGTAGTGACTCTACTTAATATTAGATGTTTTAGCCACACAAAAAAAGAAATAAAGGTAATACAAATCAGAAAAGAAATGAAACTGTCACTACTTACAGATTATGTGATATTATATATGGAAAACCTTGAAGAATTCACCAAAAAGCTATTAGAAATAATCGATGAGTACAGCAAAGAGGCAGATTATAAAATTAACATACAAAAAATCATAGCATTTTTTATACAAATAACAAAGAAGAAAAAGAAATCAAGAAAATAACTCCATTTACAATTATCTCAGAAAGAATCAACTACCTCGGAATTAAGCTAACTATGGTGGTGAAGGACCTTTACAAGAACTCCAAGACATTATTAAAGGATTTAGTGACAGAAGGAAACAGAAGCACATCACATGCTAATGGATGAGGGGAATCAATATACTCAAAATGACTATCTTTCTTAATGTGATGTATAAATTTAAAGCAATTACCATCAAAATATCAGTAATATTTTTCAAAGATATTGAACAAAAATTATTGAAATGTATACGAAAACATGAAATGCCTTGAATAGCAAAAGCAATCCTGAGAAAAGAAGAAACAAGCATCATAGAAAGAAAACCTGCAATTATTGTATGTAAAACAATGTTAAGGCATAAAAGCAATATACAAACATAGTGTTTTTCTTCTTATTTTATGAGCAAATAAAAATACTTTTTATTTGGCTCATATAAAGAAGGGAAATCTGAATGTCTGCTTTATCATTTGTGTGTCTAAAAATTAGACATATGCTCTACTTCAAACTAAAAATCTGAAAAAACAAAACACCAGACTTCCAATCAATTCTTCTAAAATTCACACTCCCACTTTTCTAATGGATACGTTTGTTACGAAAACAACCAAAAAATCTAACAAACAAAAAAATATAAACCAAAAAACCCCCACAAAACTAGGAGCTTGAAATGGAACTAATGGGACAACACTCACACGAATGAAAAAAAGCAACAAAAAAATAGACAAAGTTTGCATAAAACAGTTGTAACGGATTTCATGAAGGGTAATAGAGGATTGACCATCTCTCAAGACTACCCTAAAATTATAAAGGACTTTAAAAGTTTAAGCTCACAAAGACAAAGAGAACTGAAAAGAAACACCTGTTGATAGATGTGTTACGTGTCAACAAATGTTTGAAAGACAAAGTGGATAAAGGAATTCTGGTTCCAGTAAAATAGAAAAAAATACACCCCACCCTACCTTTTCCACTGAATGCACCTATAAAACGTAAACAGAATGTGTAAATCAACTATATGAGAACTCTGTAAAGAAAATGATAAATTGGGGAGTGGAGGAACATAATACAAAGTACTATGAAACCATTATTTTCCTAGTACATTTCAGCCTGGATCAATACAGTTAGAACCTGCAATGGGCATTGCTACAGACAGAGAGAGCTTCAGGACACCCTTCTCTGTTCTGACTTGAGAAGCAGGAAAGGGGTTTTCTAATGCTCAGAGTAAGGGGATGAAATAGTGCCCTCCAGTTTTTTGTCCTCTATTCTCTCATGCTCCTGCCCAGTGGGTGGCAGAATTGGACAAATAAAGTCTCAGCTTTGTGACATGAAGGAGTGAAAAGTGGACACTCTTGGAATATGTAGTATCTGAGAGTTTGTAAAAAGGCAGAAACTAGGGAAAGTGAAGTCATAAAGTTATTTATGAACTCCTGGACAAATCTCTAAGTTGTGCCTGGATCTAATCCTAAACTGCCTACTGAAGCTAACGAGGATAAACCACAGCCCAAGGTGTAGACTGCTGCTGGTAGCGCTCATTTAGGACAGATCTGATAACACTGCAAAGACTTTGGAAATGGAATGGACATTGGAACTATTACCCACAGATCTGGTTGGAACTTGCAGCCTTAATCCAACTGGATAGATAAAGGTTTAACGCCTAAAACAACTATAAGAGAAAGGGATAGGTTATAGAACCTATATGGTGGTAAGTTCTCCATTCCGCCTGAAGTAGTAAAATATTCTAAATAGACTGAAATATTAAGTATGTTTACTGTAATCCCTAGCTTAATGATACCATACAAAGATATAGTATCAAAACAAGATAAACTAAAATGGAACACTAACATTTTTTTAAACTATTACACAAACACGCATAGCAATTTTATTAGTAGTGGTCAAAAAGAATCAGTTTAAGAATCAGTTTGAATCAGTTGAAGAATAAGTTCTTCAATGGGTAAAAATGCAATGAGCTCAGATAAAAGAGGAAAAAGTTAAACTGGTTCATAAATATTTTTTCTTAGCCAATTTGGTAGTAAAAGACTAAGTCGACAAATAAAGGGATATTTCCAGTAAAAAAAATAGAAAACTGTAATGAATGCATGAGGCCAGTCAAATATAAGAAAATTGATTCAGTTTATTCCATGATTTTACTCACGTGTGTAACATATATCCCCCCAGTATTGGTAAGGCACCCAACGATTTGATCACATGGCCAAGTACATACACCAGGGAAAGGTAGATGATTGTCCTGTTGAGAAAATTAAGTAAGTCAGTTTACAAAGAGAATTCAGAGACTTGAATAATACACCCAGAACATGGTTCATACTATTCCTAGTACCAGAATAAAAGGAATGGGAAGAGGAAGGGGTGGAGGTGGCAAAGAATCACCTGAGAAAGGCAAATAGAAATGATAGTGAATGAAGTAAAGCAACTTAAGGAGAGGAAATCTTTACCCTATAGGGTTAGAGGTAATGGGTACCCCCCTTAAAACAGACTGTACAATAATAAAGACCATTTATTTGGCAGGGACTTCCTGGTGTGCTATTGTCTGAGAAATCTGAATGGCAAACACAAAGTAGAAGAGTGAAGAATTCCAGTAAGAATAAGAACATATGTAAATGCAGTGAAATATGACACACAATAATATATAAATATAGTTGTTAATATTTTCCTTATAAGTGGAATATTAGTACTGGAAGGAAACTTGGAAATTATATGGTTTACATCTGTAGTTTTAATGTGTTATATGCTAACATGAAATATAAAGGATGGAAAGAAAATTGTAGAGAAAGACTAGAGATGCCAGAAATCTCAGGATGTGGATTTATCGTTCTCAGTGCCTAATATTCCTATGATGGCTCTCCAGGGAAAGGACCTGAGAGAATTTATTATAGCAAGTAGGGATAATTAATCTAAGGTTAATTAATATTAGGCAAGGGGGACCAGCTTTCTGAAAAGAACTTAATCTGTATTCTAGAGATAAGTTTTTGTTTTGAGATTAAAAAGAATAAATAGAAAGGAAAGAAAAGACATTGAGAAAAAGTTAATCTATCATAAACCCAAAAGAGATGATCTATGCTAGACTTTCAGAGGGAAAAACAAAAGAAGCGTGAGCTAAAGTGAGAGAGTCTGAGTAGGAACATCAGAGCCATATAGGATTTCTAACCGGAAGGTGGATTTGAGAGTAGTCCATAGACTCAGTTGTAAGAAATGAGTATGAGGGCAGTAGCTCTTCCAAAGGACGCCACCTGTTCCAGGACCTTTCCCTGGGTGTCCAAAATTTTATTCTGTCTGTAAAGAAACTCTGTTTTTGCTTATGCTAAAGGAAAAAGGAAAGAAGGGAGGGAGGGAAGGAGGGAGGAAGGAAGGAAGATGGAAAACAGTAAAACATTTTAAGTGTACATTTTCAGTGTCGAATGTACGGGCAATGAAGACCAACTAGAACAGTGGCAGTTAATGGCAGTAGGATTCAGTAGTGAGAATAATAAATGTGAGAGATCTTATAGAAAGCGAACTGGTAGAGTTGCTAACTGACTAGATGTGGAGATATAGGAGAAAGAACAGGTTTGAGGAAAGAAGATAAGGTGGAACATCCAGGAGATGAATGTTGATATGCAGTTACAATACATACTGGAGCTTGAGTGACATGTTAGAATTAGAAAGGCTGAGGAGCTCTCTGAATATAGCTATAATTGACACCACAGGGCTTGCTAAATGAAAATCTGGAGAATGAGAAGAAGGTGAAAGATATACCTTGGGGAAATGCCTACATTCAGGAAAGAGTGGAGTAAACTAAAGGCAAAAGACAAACCAAATAAGGAAGAATCAAAAAAGTAGGAGGAAGAGAACCAAAAAATACAGTGTTAGAGAAGCTCAGACATTTTCAATATAGGAACAATATGCAAACTAGAATATTAAAATAAGTTCAAAGTAAATAAGTGTGCAAAATTTAGAAACGATCACTGGAATTTGTTAACAAAGATCATTATCAGTGATCTTAGAGAAATTTCAATAAAACGAGAAGATAACTCATGCTACATTTTACTGCACATACCACAATCTGTACTGTATTAAATCTAGTTGTACATGAACAATGTGAAGAAAGTATTGTGTCTTCTCATCTTTTTCTCTCCCGAGATTTTTTGGTAAAAAAAGAAGATGCTTGGCAAACTTTTAGTAAACTAAACTCGGTCAGACTAAATTGAATTTAATTGACTTCTATTGCATTGTTTTATATTACTGTGCCCTAACAGGTGATAAAGAAAAGTGAGAAAGGAAAGCAGCAAATATAGAAGATTCTTTTTAAAAATTGGACATAGTGTAATAAGACAAAGAAGATAGGAAAAGGAGAGTTAACAACAGTTTTGTTCATTTACAGCTATCAGATTTATATGTTTCTAGATACAGTTTTATATCTGTTTCTAGATACAGTTAAAGACTGTGTCAGAGGGAGAATTTAAAGTCAAGAGAGGGGACTATTGAGGGTACAAAGATTCTGGGAGAGCAATCCGGATAATGGTGATTCACATGTAAAAATTCATCAAGCTGCATACTTGGATTTTTGTGCTTTATGTAAATTATATCTCAATAAAATAAATTTTAAACATTAAAAATACCTCAAAAATGATTGAAATTGAGAGTACAAGTTAAATTTTATTTGAAATAAGCAGGAAGCTATTGTTCACCAATCCCAGAATTATACTGCTTCAATTTTATAGGAAATTATTTAAAAATAAATAAATGTACTACGTCGTGTATGGGCTTTCATTCTACAACTGAACAAAGACATGACTTATACTTTTATTCTCCACACTGTGCCAACCCCCTATCTGCATGGACTTGCTGACTACTACCACATAAATAGCAAACACAGCTGCTCACTCAACAATCTCTCCCAAGTCAAGAAATTATGTTTAATTGTCTTGTGTTTACAGCTGTGTATTAAATGCTGTTAAACACTTTAAAACAATGAATATGTATAGGCCAAAGTAAGAGATAAGCCAGTATTTACTAGGTCCACATATACTGTGAAAATTTCCCAATGGTCAGAAAAGTTTAAGAAACATTATATATCATAATCTTCTCTTGAAGATTTTACAGTGCATTTTAGCTATGTTAAAGGCTATAAGAATGTATGTAGTTCATTTATAATAGCCAAGACCTGGAAACAACCTAAATGCCCATCAATTGACATAGATAAAGAAAATATGATATATATATATATATATACACACACACACATAACAGAATACTAATCAGTTATTTTTAAAAAAAGATAAAATTCTGCCATTTGAAACAACATGGATGGACCTAAAGGTTATTATGCTGAGTGAAATATACGGGGTGGAGCAAGGCAAACACATTTGATTTTACTCATATGTGGAATATAGAGGAAACAAACAGGTGAACTAAATAAACTAAAAATAAAACTTAAAAAGTCTTCTTAAAACTTTGCTCAGTCGAGCTTTGTTCAGCCTAGCATTTTCCAAACTTATTTGACCGTGAGAGCCTAAGTAGCACTTATTTATATCCTCTACAACTGATTTTCAACAGAACGGATTTTGAGAAATACTAATTTAGACCAATTCAGAAAAGAAAATTCTATAGAAAATAACTGGGTGATGGATTTCAAAGGTCCCTCTCCAGCCTATGAGGATAATGCCATCAACTATAGTTAAATTACAGTTGCCCTCTACAACATTTTCCCATAAATGTCTTTTGGTGGTATTTTTAGGCATTTGTAAGAAACTGAGCTGAATAGACCATTAGTTTAATTCATGAAAATAATTATCATATTCTTATGAAGGAAACTACAGAAAGAAATTAGAGAAGAAAAACAGAGATGGTTAAAGAGTTGAAAAGAGAAGACTCATAAGAACATAAAGAAGTTGGATATTTCAATCTGGAGAACAGATGGAAAATATATCAAATAACTATGTTAAGGTCTCTAAAATTATAAATTTTCTGATGAGTTGCATCTCTATTGTCTCTGATATGAGAATAAGAATTGGTCCTAAACTATAGAATGAAAGATAAAAATTAGGTTTAATTAAAAAAACTACTGACTGAAAAGGCTGCAAAAATGTTAGAAAAACTGATAATAAAGAAAAATAGCCCTTCTGTATTGTCAAGTCTTAGAGAGACTTAAAATTTGTCATGGATGGCACAAGAAGCAAGAGGCTAGAAGTGATACTGTGCAGTATTAATCTGTGAAGATTTGGGGGATGTGACTTCCATTTCCTTACTTGAATTTTCCCAACCATGAGTCAGCAATGGCTGCTCCCAGGATTGGAGTGAAATAACAGAGGCTGCTGAAGGCATGGTACACGGATGTGGAGGTGTCTTCATTCCAGTGCAGGAAATACAGGAAGTACAGAGTCAGCACAGCTGAGGTGAAAAAAAAAGGGAGACAAAACAAGATAGATGCATTAAAATGACTTATGGAATAGAAACACATTTAATCTCTGGTCTTTGAAGTGATCTTTACCTTCAACATTTCTATCAGTGTAGTGACAAAGAGATGGTGCTGGGCAGCAGAAACAGGACCCATAAAAGTAGGAAATGTTTAGTGTCTAAATAATATACTCCCCCCTTTGGTCTATGTGTACTCATGACATCATTTAGGCCAATCACAAAGAACACATGGTCCTTCCAAAATCTCCTCCTTTCTCATCCCAGTAATAATATAGCTCCTAGACATGAGGAGCAGGTATGAAGAATAGAATCAGATGATAAGAGCATTCCCACTTGCATTCTCATAGGCTCTGTTCTGTTTCTACTAGGTCTCTCTGTTCTTTAACTGCATGAGTTACTAGGTAAAATTCTATGAGGCATTTATTGAAATCTTGACCAAAGGAAAGAATAAATTTGATGAGGAAAAAGGAGTGTATAAGGGAAATAAGTACATGCCAGAAGATCAGATTTTTACAAACAGGGGCTAGGTATGAATAAAGAAGAGTAGGACACTGAGATACAAAATTACCTTTCATGCCATAATAGGAAAAACGCTCACAGAATTCATTCACCACAATGAAGGCAATGCTCAGTGGATAATTGGAGCCACAAATTTTCTATGAAACAAAATGGCAAATGTTTCAAGCTTGCGTTGTTTATTCTTCTTTAAACTAGTAGATTGTTTCACAACAACAACAAAATCATTTATTGAAAATCTATCTTAGGTAATATGAGTTGTTTGGGGAGAGATATAACTGAGCACATCTGCAGAGAAAATAATAAATCAATGTATTCATTGTGTCACCCATATGAGCAGATATAAACAACCCTCCTAAATGTGAATATATGTTACTACATTTTGATAGCTTGCTTGAAAGACAATGAATGTCTTCTTACCTTCCCAGCTTACAGAACTGTACAACATGGAGTTTAGTTAACACACTTTCACTAGCTCTATAACACACTCATGTCACATAGTAGTATACACACTGTGAATAAATTTTAATATCTTATCCTGGTCATGTCAATACACCTGTCCTTATGCTAACTATTACTTTTTGGTAAAAACTCAATAAGCAAAGACTATTACTACTACATCCTCTTCACTTCTGGGATTTTGATATAAGGATTGATTATGAAAATAAATTTGGAAGTGCTTTAACAGGTAGGTATATTAGATAAAACATTATTTGCTACTTCTTTGTTTCTCTGTTCTGTGTCCCTCTATAAACTAGAACACATAATAATAAACCGGATCTATTTTAAAACTTCTCTTGGTGTGTGCATAAGATTCTGCACACGGAGGAACTGAATTTTTATATTGGTAAAGAAAGAACAATCATACACAGTTCTCTAAGGAGTACTTGCCAAGTTTCCCTGGATATTGCTCTTTTTCACCCCAGAGAAACTCAGATTACACAATGAAATAGAGCAAAGTCCTGGATCCCTAATGAAGAACTCTACTTCTCCCTGCTACTTACTCTCCTAAGTAAAAGAAAATCTGTTTAGATTTTGTTTTCAGGTTAATTCTGACTCCAAGTGAGAATAGTTTTTAGACTCTAATACAGTTCAGACTGAAGCTCCAGAGGCAGAGTAGGTAACCAAAAGAGCAAATCTATTCCTGTGAGAGGCAGAATTGAATCTGGGAACTCACCGGAGGTGGCTTTGGAAGGCTGGGTGGTTGGGAAGATATCTCATCAGTGGAGACAGGTGAAAAAAGAGTTTCCTTGGACTCATTTTTCTGGAACTGATTCATGGCTGGCTCTTTACTCTCTCTTTCCTCAAGCATTTGGCTTTAGTAGGCAGTTGGGACAGCTGCCAGCCTAAAGTGAAAGGGGGTACTGGGAGGAGAAGAGGGGGTGGCTTCAGCAACTAGGTTTAACCCTATTGGTGTCAGCTTCAGTAGCTGCCTGTTCCAGAGTAAGGCAGAAAACTACAGGCAAAGAAAGGGTTGGGCTTCAGAAACTAATTTAAAAGAATTATTATGCATGAGGTAGACTGTGGGGGAAGGAGAAGAACGTATCACAGATGGGACAAGACAATGCTTGAGAGTTGCAAATAAGTATAAAATAGAGTATAATACCTTAAGTTCAATTAAAAAATTTATTTCAGATTGGTGGTTGCCAGAAGCAGGGGTAGAAGTGGGAAAAGGGGGTGAATGAAATCAGTGAAGAGGGTCAAAAGATACAAACTTCCAGTTAAAAAATAAATGTCACAGCATGATGGCTACAGTTGTAATGCACAGCATGATGGCTACAGTTAGCAGTACTGCATTGCATTTTTGAAAGTTGCTAAGAGAGCAGATTTTAAATGTTCTCATCATAAAGGAAAAATACTGCAACTAGTTATGGTGACAAATGCCAGCTAGATTTTCTCTGGTGATCATTTCATAATATAAACAAATATTGAATTATTGTGTTGAACACCTGAAAATTTATGTCAATAAAAATTGATTTCAGGGTAATAATAGCTGTTATTTATTGAATGCATATTATAGACAAGTTAATATATATGAATTACACCTATATTTATATCTATATATTCAATTCTTATTTCTGGCCCCTCTAATAAGAACTAATGTCCGAAGAGATTAAGTAAGGCGTCCAAAGTTAAGTGGTGAGTAAGTGACAGATGTGGAGTTTTCACTATTCCTTCACAGATGGGAGAGATTTGTATCAGTATTACCTCTAGTCATTTTCAGGTACAGAGGTTATGGAAATGTAAATAAAGGAGTGTAGGGGGATTGAAATGTACTGTCAAGGGAAAGTCATCACAAAGTTGAAGAATTTGAAGAGATAGAAAAGTTGTTTATTTTGGGTTTGGAACATGATAAAATTCATCTAGAAAAATCCTACAAGGAATTAAAGAGTTGAGGCTAAAGGAAATTAAAGAAATTGGTTGGGGATCATTTTTGTCCTATGCTAAATTCATTCCCTGTGCTTTTACTTTTTTCAGGCCATCATTTCATAAATTTAAAAAAATTAAGCAAAAATTATGACATTTCTAGGTTTATGACAAACAACATTTTCCTTGATTTTCAGTGGATGTATTTCCGATTAACTCTAGATTATATTTAGTCCTATCAAAGAGGAAAAAAACAGGCATGATGATGATAAATGCATTTTATATAGTGTCATTTTGTTGTCAATTAGGTAAAAGAAGAGCAAAGGAGTATGTTGCTTTTCCAGTCGTCAGTCAAAAAACAAAAAGAAAAAGAATGCTACAGAGATACAATAAAAATTAGAAATGAACTATCAAGGAGGTCTGGAAACAGGAGCACATTTTTTTGAGAAAAGCTATTACTCTATCCTTCAGAAAATTGTTGCATTACCTATTTGATAATTCATTAACAAATAAGGTCCTAATAAACTTTACTCTTTCATTCCTCCCTAAACTCTGCCTTAGACTTTGACCACATGGTTTCAGCTTCTTTACACTTATCACTCTCCCCCCACCCACCAATCTTTGCCCAAAGAAGAGCCCAGATTCATTTCTGATGTGACATTAATGATTAGGTTGTAGTTATTCTTTCAGAAAGTATTGACCTTTCTGACATAGTTTGATTAATGACTCTGGATGCAAAATAAATGAACAGTTGTTAAGTTACTAGCCCAGTTTACTAGTAGTGGCACAGACGCCACTACTGTGGGTCTCCCTGCTCTGGCTTTATACCTCTAGACTAGTATTTGATCATTTGTACTCATAGGTATCTAAAATGCCAGATTTTAGAGTATTGGCATTGATTGATACTCCTTTGTTTAGATGAAATTCTTCTTTTGATATAGCAATATAATGCTAGCATTCATGGAATCAAATCATATCAGAGATGGAATCTTAAAGATCTTACCCTTGAACTAACTTCCCTGGTAAGAAGCATTTAAGGTAATATACATACATGTAATATTAATGTATATGTGCATATATGTATATATGTAAGGTAATATATACCCATACACATATATATAAGCTTACAGATATTTCTCTAGAAAATTCTTATTCAACAAATCTAAGCAGAAATCTAAGAACATGTGTTTTTAACAAGCACCATGATGGTTTTTATGACAGATTTGGGGAATACTGGTTTGAAATTCATCACCCAGTCTAGCATGAAGAATATTCCAGAAGAACTCAAAAGGACAAAGTAAGAACTAAAACCTAGTCTCCCAAGGTCTATTCTGGAGTCCTTCCTATCATTTCAAGATGCCTCTTGTACCCTATTATTTTTGCTAACTTGAAATCAGATAGAAAGACAAAAGGGAAAAGATTAATGAGAAAGGAAATGATTAAAGAAAAGCAACTGCTGGATAGAAATGAGCACAGATTTTTCAGAGATAAAAAAGAGAATAAAAATGGAAGAATCTAAAATATCAGCAAGAAAGTAAAAAATAGTTAAGGACCAGTGAATATGACAGCAGAGTGATATTTTAGTCATATAGAAGAAGACTGAAACTCTAAAATGGTAGATACTGCTAATATAGTCATATAAAAGACATAAATGCGAACTTAAAGAGGACATGTGTTTAGCAGGCATAGGATATAAAATCAGCATACAAAAATGAGCTATATTTAAATGTCAGCAACAAATAAAAATGGAAATTAAAAAAGATAATAACTATAATAATAGCTTAAAAAATACCTAGCAATAAATCCAATGAAAGGTATTCAAGACTTTAATACTAAACACTATAAAACATTATTGAAAGAAATAAAGAACAATCTAAACAAATGGAGAGACATACTATATAGTCAAGATATGGTAGGTTGTTGTTGTAAAGATACCAATATTCCCCACGTCAACCTATAATTTCAACAGGTTGTGTGTGTGTAACAAATGACAAGTTCATTATTTTTTTGGTATCATTGAAGAAATATTTGCTTATAACACTGTATGTGATTCAGAGGTGACACTTGATTTTTAGACTTCATAAGAAATTTAAGCAGCAGCAAAAAGTAAAGAATAGTATGGTAATCCTGAAGAACAAAAAGACTTGAACTACCCAATATAAGATCTATTATAAAGCTATAAAGTAACAGAGTGGAATCAACACAAACTAGATAGGCAATCTATTAAGTAGAGAAGTTTAGATTTGTACATATACTAAGATCCACAATATAGTAACGCATCATTTATGACAAAGGTGACACTGTAGTACGTAGGGGATATGATGGGTGTTTTCAACAAATATACACCATCTGGTGATACAAATTAAAAATTATTTCAACCTTTATCTTACATCATACACTAAAACCAATTCTATATAGATTGAAGATCTACCTGTTCAGTTTTTCAAAAATAAATCTTATAACAGAAAACATAAAAGGACATTTTATGACTGTGGAGTAAGTCTAAATTTCTTAAATAAGACATAAAATATGGTAACTATAAAAGAAAAACAAGTGAAATGTCAGACAATTTAAAACTAAGATATTTTGTTTACCAAAAGACACCATTAAGAGTGAAAAAAGGGCCTCCCTGATGGCACAAGGGGTTAAAACGCAACCTATGAAGCTGTCCGCAGCCTCTGCAGCACAAGTTCGATCCCCGGCCAGCCAGGAAGCAACCCACATGGCATAGCAGACCTCTCCTGACTCACCCACTGCTCCCCTCAGCAGTGTATTTCAGTATATCTGCCTGTTCTGCTCCCCACTCTGTCTCTGTGAATCCTCTCACCCCCTGCACCTCTGGCCTGTACCCCAGCTCTTGTATGCATAAATAAATAAATCTTTAAAAAAAAAAAAAGAGTGAAAAGAGCTTTCAGGGTAAGAATACTACCAAAATTGCAAACTTGGGCTAGTATCTGAGAAGTCACTTCCATGGCAACGTTACTGGGCAGGAGTGTCACCTACTCCTGCAAATCGAGTGAGTCTACTTCAGAGGGGAAAGTGAGGTGACAGATCTCAAAATATTAGAAAGCTATGAAACTTTTTAGAATAACAATTTAAAATTTTTTATCATATTTGGGTCCTTAATTTTGATTACTTCATTAATAAGTTGAAAATTAAGTAATTACTATAGGAATGGTATGTGATTGATATAATTCCTGAATTCTGACATGTTTAAAAATACTCAATTACCAAACTGTGGGTGACATTAAGCAAATACATAATTCATAGGTCACATGCAGATGTACCTTTACTAACCATTAATTTTTACTCCTTTACAGCAACTTAACTTTCCTATTTGCATGCTTATATCATCAGTTCCATCAAACCATTCACAACAGGTCAAACTAAAAGGACATGTGCTTATGATTACTAACTTTACTGTAGTAATCATTTCACAATATATACTCACCATATAAATGACATGTAATCTATGAATAAACACACACATATATACACATATATACATGTAATATATGCATAAATACACACCTTAAGTCATACAATGTTATAACATTGTCAATTATATCCCAATACAGCCGATGGTTAAATATATGTACTTATAATCATGGCATGATCAGCACATGGTTCTGGTAGAAAACCTCCTATCTGAGAACTTGTCTCATCTACAAGCTCCCTACTAAAAATGCACCCAATAACAAGTAATGAAAATATTATTTATTCCTCTATAAGCTACTTATACTTACTCTTAAGGGGTATAAACAAACAATATACTAGGTATTCAATCCATAAAAAATGTCTTTAAGAACATATTTCATTTATAGGGGAAGAATTAGGGTGGTGAAGATGAGCTGTGTCAGGCGGTATAATTTGATTACATAATGTGTGCTCTAAGCTAGTATTATCAATTTATGTCACCGTGTACCCATTTCTGGTACAGTAAACACTAATAAAAGAAATCTCAGAATGATGACCTTCAGAAACAATCATTATA